GGGGGGGCGCCTGGATGGCTCAGATCGTTAAGTGTCTGCCTTCGGCTCAGGTCATGATCCCAGGGTCCTGGGATCGAGTCCCGCATTGGGCTCCCTGCTCCTTGGGAGCCTGCTTCTCCCTCTGCCTCTCTTCTTTCTCTATCTCTCATGAATAAATAAATAAAATCTTAAAAAAAAAAAAAATCAGAAAAAGAGAGCCAGTCCAATCTAACTAAATGCTCCTAAAACTGTAGTAGTTCTTTGATGAATATGAATGAGTAGGGACAGGATTTACTGTGATAGTGACACCCCTCTGATAGAAGGTGATTATGGGTTTTAATGCACAGACATGGTGAATTTTTTATTGACAGCACTTAAGTGGTCTGAGATTGACAGTAGGGCAGTTCTACTCTGTGAAGCTAATGTTCAGAACAAACTTAAAAAATTACTGTCCAAAAAGATTGGGGCCTGAACTTCACTATGGAACTTTATTAGTCAGGATTATTAGGGGGACACCTGGGTGGCTCAGTCCATTAAGCGTCTGCCTTCGGCTCAGATTATGATCTCACGGTCCTGGGATTGAGCCCTGCATCAGGCTCCCTGCTCGTGGGCAACCTGTTTCTCCCTCTCCTCCCCACTTGTGCTCTCTCTCGCTCTCTCTCAAATAAATAAATAAAACTAAAAAAATATTATGGAGGGGTGCCTGGCTGGCTCAGTTGCTGGAGCATGAGACTGTCAATCTCAGGGTTGTGAGTTTAAGCCCCACTTTGGGTGCAGAGATTACTTATGATGAATTTTTTTTTTTAAGATTTTATTTATTTGAGAACGAGCACACATGTGAGCACAAGTGGGGGGAGGGGCAGAGGGAGAGGGAGGAGCAGACTCCCCACTGAGCAGGGAGCCTGATGTGGGCCTCAGTCCCAAGACCCTGAGATCATGACCTGAGCTGAAGGCAGATGGTTAAGCGACTGAGCCACCCAGGCACCCCTAAAAGTAAAATCTTAAAAAAACAAAACATTATTATGGAGAACATCATTGAAGATACTATTTAAGAATATATCAGTCCTGGGGCGCCTGGGTGGCTCAGTTGGTTAAGTGACTGCCTTCGGCTCAGGTCATGATCTTGGAGTCCCGGGATCGAGTCCTGCATCGGGCTCCCTGCTCAGCAGGGAGTCTGCTTCTCCCTCTGACCCTCTTCCCTCTCGTGCTCTCTCTCTCTCAAATAAAAAAAAAAAAAATATCAGTCCTTCCTCAACTTTGGGGCGTTTTCGTTGCATAGAAAATGACAGAAGTTAGTCTTCCCTCTCTTTTCTCCTCTCTCTTGGGAGGACTCAATTAAATGGAAATAACAAAGGTAAGGGAAAGATTTCAGCTCTAAAGCATAGTTTTCTAGCTTTCTGGAAAGTTGAGAATCGCAGCTGCCGGGTAAGCATTTCCTTCAGGACTCTGCAGTTTGAGCTGTTTATTGACATTGGTCTTTCTTCCCAGGGGAATGGAGCGAGGCCAGTGGCCGGGTCTGCTGAGTCCGCAGCACTCAGACTACGTGCACCTCTGCAGCAGGTGCAGGCCCAGTTGTCACCCCTCCAGAACATCTCCCCATGGATTCTGACAGCGTTGACTCTTCAGACTCTGAGGTAGGGGTTTTTGGGATTTAGTGAAGAGCTGTATAACTAGTTAATTCTATCTGTTTGATGTCTGACATTCCCAACCAGACAGGAGAGCAGGAGAAGTTAGTTTTGGCTGGGTTATAGGTGAACATCGACTGCTTCCCTATTTCCAAGTGATTTAGGACATAGAGTGAGGTATAGATAAATGGGTCTGTGGGTCTCGGTGGTTATCCTATTGTGATTAATTTACATTGTGGGACCTAATATTACGTATTCCAGGTAAATTCTCAGTACATTCTGATGGTTGGATTCCATTTAATTTTTGCCTCTTGCAGTCTGATATCCTGTTGGGCATTCTGTTCAACTTGGATCCAGTCATGTTCTTCAGATGTCCTTCCCCAGAGTCTCCCAGCCTGGAGCAGCTCCCAGAAGTACACCCAGAAGGACCCAATTCCTTACCAGCCTCCCCTTCTCCATCACTGGGGACGTCATCAGCCAAGCTGGAAGCCATTAATGAACTGATTCGGTTTGACCACGTATATACCAAGCCCCTAGTCTTAGAGATACCCTCTGAGACAGAGAGCCAAGCTAATGTGGTAGTGAAAATTGAGGAAGCACCTTTCAGCCCCTCAGAGAAAGATCACCCTGAATTCACTGTCTCAGTGAAGGAAGAACTTGTAGAAGATGACTTCATTCCAGAGCTGGGCACCTCAGATCCACTTTCATCCAGCCACTGCCTGAAGCCATCTTCCTGTCTACTCGATGCTTATAGTGACTGTGGATATGAGGGCTCCCCTTCTCCCTTCAGCGACATGTCCTCTCTGCTTGGTGTAGACCATTCTTGGGAGGACACTTTTGCCAATGAACTCTTTCCCCAGCTGATTAGTGTCTAAGGAATGATTCAGTGCTGTTACCCTTTTCCTTGACCATTATACTGCCTGGAAGATAGCAGAGAAGCCTGCGCTTCATTTAAAAAAGCCAAAGTAGAGGGTGTACAGTCCTAGGGAATTACTCTAAAGTATTTGTTCAAACCGTATAGGTCACCCCAAGTATTGTCTTTTGTCATCCAGCAGTCCAAGGTACTCATATATTACTATAATCTAGAATTCCAGCTTTTGAGGTTGTACTCTTAAGGGCAGTAGTTTGTCCTAAAATTGTTATGTAAGGGTCATTGGACAAGCTTCTTAGACATGGAATTTGTGAGTGGCCCTTTAACATTTCTTTTCCCTCTTCTTGGCATCCCAGGCTTACCTCCAATTTTAGGTCCTTTAGTTTGCTTCTGCAAGCAGAGAACACCTACCTGAGGGGGCTCCTTTCCTTCATGTACAGTTCAAGTAAAGATCAAGAATCTTTTGTAAAACTATGGAAATTTACTATGTAAATGCTTGATGGAATCTTTCCCTGCTAGCGTAACTTTTGGAAGGTGCTTTCTCCATTTATTTAAGACTACCTGTGCAATTAAAAAGTGCAATGCAGTGTCTTTGTTCTTTGGTAACTTTTCTCTCTAGGTGTTTCACTGTTTGCCATGATAGTGACTTATCCAACTTCAGTGAGCATGCCACTTTTTAAAGGTTTTTCCCCCTTAGTTACTGCCTGCTTCAGTTTCTGGCTGCCATAAATGATATAATCTACTCTTTGAGCAGTTACTATATATATATTTTTAACCCCCCCTTTTTTTTAAGATTTTATTTATTTATATGACAGGCACAGCAAGAGAGGGAACACAAGCGGGGGCAGTGGGAGAGGGAGAAACAGGCTTCCTGCTGAGCAGGGAGCCC